TATGGTAGGTAGGGATCCCTTGACCACTTAATTTGACTACAAAATCCACAGAGTGGTTTCCCAGCAATCTTACTGCGAAAGCACTGTGCTCCAATGCAATTAATTTAACTCTAACTAACACTGGAACTAATAAAAATTTAATTTTTAATGAAACTTAATCACTTCAAAGCACAATAGAGAAAAGCAAATCAAGACAAAATTCACATTTGAATCCTAGAGCGATTCCATTGTTAAGAATTAGATTTCATAAGTGACAGACTCTTGAGACTTCTTTATTTCTTGTCATACTTTAAAAAATAGACTGGAATTTTTATTCCAGAAGTCTAGGATCACTGCAGAAATGATAGCCCTTCAATCTTCCACTATGGTGGGTGCTTAAGGAGAAATAAATGCCTAGAATCCAGAGTCTTCCTAATCCCTAGCCCGCCCAAGTGCTCTATCTGTAACTGGAGCTATCAGTCCCTGGTAGAAGACAGCAAGGACTTGGCTTTAAGGATGTGTCAGAATAATGTGTGAACAAACTATGTATCTGCTTATAAGCCTATGCCTCAAATCACTAGAATGTGAGAACTTAGGATTCTCTAAGAATAGAATATTTTTCAAACACACATAACATAGACTATTGCATATCATTTTTAGTTGAGGCTAAAAGCCCTAATTCCCCAATTAAAAGCAGGGGATTCTATCATTAGTATGTCTCCTTCATTTATACTCAGATTAATACAAACAGAGTCTGGAGGTAACACTTCTTTCCAAACTTAACTTCATTTTAGCAGCATACACGGAGTACTGACACTTTGCAAAGCTTTTTATTTCAGATCCATTAGGTCTATGAGAGACAAGAATTGGAGGCCTGGGATTAGTATGATCCTCTCAGAATCTCCTCTTGGACTATTCTTTTATAGGGTTTTTCTACCATATAAGCATTGTTAAAAAAAAAAAAAAGCCAATACACTTGAGGCCAGGCATGCTCATAGGGGGTGTTACCTAGAGTGACCAAATATTATTCAACTCAAAGCTTAGTGCAAGCTTTAACCATGACCAGACCAGCAGGATGACGAAACATTTGTTTTAGGTAATATTTGACCTGAGGCTCTGGTAAAGTCAGCTTGACAGATGAAGTTAAAGCACGATATAAAAGAAAGGGTGGACAAAAGGAACAAGAGACCAAGGGAAGTTAATACAGTAGGTTTTGCACATTGAGACCCAAAGGATACCAGTATGTTATGTCTCATTTAATTAACCACAACAAAAAGGCCATTTTTAGTTCTGAGTTGCTTAAGCCTTTTAATTTCCCAGTATCCTTAGCTTAGTCACTCTTCCTTCTCCTCACAACCCCCAAACCATGATGTATTTCTTAAAGGATTAGCACTCCTGAAGAGTGATTTTCTAACTTTGACTCTGTGAAACTCCTATAGGGAAAACAACAACAACAAACAACAAACAAACAAGAACAAAAATGCCATGTTTTTTAAAATGCTAAAAAGTTTTGTTTTTTTTTTTCTGCCTTTATTCATTTTCAAAATTTGCCAAGCTCTCTTTAGAAAATAAACTACCCTTGGGCGCCTGGGTGGCTCAGTGGGTTAAGCCACTGCCTTCAGCTCAGGTCATGATCTCAGGGTCCTGGGATCGAGTCCCGCATCGGGCTCTCTGCTCAGCAGGGAGCCTGCTTCCCTCTCCCTCTCTGCCTGCCTCTCTGCCTGCTTGTGATCTCTCTCTGTCAAATAGATAAATAAAATCTTTAAAAAAAAAAAAAAAAAAAAAAAAAAGAAAATAAACTACCCTTTTAACTAACATAGAAGAATGAATAAGTTGTACTCTGGGCTACCTTCCTCCTTCCCTCTCTACCTTCTAGAACAGTTTCTTGGGGACAGACTGTGTGAGAGGCTTCTCAGGGCAAAAGGGTGTATTAGCAGTGCAGAGAAGGAACAGTGCTACAGGAGGCATCACCCAGTTCCCCTTGCCTATCCTCTTCCATACCAGCTGGTAGGCTCTCATTTCACATTTGGCTGGGAGATTACCAAAGAACTTAGGAAACTGACACTTTCTGCACATATTGAGATTAGGAAGCTTTAATGGCCACCATCATCAGTCACTGGAGCCAGAGCTAGTTCACAGAAGCTGGGGCCTGAGAAACTGAAGGAATCTCTTTTCCTGCCTCACTCTACTGATACATCAGTGTAAAAAATTTAATACATGAACACATAGTCAATACTGTGACAAGAAATAGTAGTGTGATAAAATCCTCCAAGTAACAACCAAGAATTTGAATCCTCCCATGTGGCCCACTTACCTAATGGGTATTGGGGAAAAAACAGTAGTATAACTGAAGACATTGTAGATCTTGAGGGTTGGTTATAATAGGATTTGGCCTGGATTTTTAAAATGACACACCACTCAAAACGTGGCTGGGACCACACAGGGTTTCCCACAAAAGTGTTTTGCTGCAGAAAGGGGCCTCGAGTGGCTAAAGCTCAAAGTTTTAAATCTCAAGTATTTACTTTAAGAACGTAACCACCAAAACACTTAGAAATTTGCATTCCCAGCAAGACAACCCCATGCCCTACTGCCTCACTCTCAGGATCTAAGGCCTACACACCCAAAGATAGTTGTGTCATCAGCTTTGAACAAGAAAGACAGGAGGAAGCTAAACTGACCTAGGGGTGCCCTTTCAGTGTGGCTGGGCACATTGTAACAGTCAAGGTGTCCCTTAAGCATCAAGTTTGTCCTCCTTCACTGTTGAAAGTTTTGACTTGCATTTATCCTTAATGGAAGTACAACAGATACTTGGAAAAAAAAGTTTTCTCTCTGATCCCTAAGAGTGGATTGGATAGCTCCTTTTCATTCCACAAATGAGAATCATTGACCCCACTTCTTCATCAAACACTTTAAAAAAATATAAAAATAAAATGGTCCTATTTGTACTTGGTGCAGGGAAGCAATACTATTCATGGTTAGGAACCCCAGGGGTATCTTCTTGCTTCTTGGCTTACTGAGTCTAAGTTGAAGGAATTTTTAGGTGTAGCAAAGGAACCCTAATTTATTTCTAGAACACTGTTTAGTGTAGTGATGTGCACAGGATTGGCCACATTAATGAAAGACTACAGAGAGCTAGACTACTTCTCTCTTGTTGAAGAAAATCTTGGGGACCATTTATCAAGAGCCTAAAAATTTCCTATTCAGTCTCTTAAGAATAATGGAAAGGCATTTTTTTTGAAGATTTTATTTAATTACTTGACAGAGATCACATGTGGGCAGAGAGGCAGGCAGAGAGAAAGGAGGAAGCAGGCTCCCTGCTGAGCAGAAAGCTTGATGTGGGGATTAATCCCAGGACTCTGGGACCGTGACCTGGGCTGAAGGCAGAGGCTTTAACCCACTGAGCCACCCAGGCACCCTGAAAAGTCATTTTTTAATTAAAGAAAAATGTGGGCACATAAAAATCTCCCAAAGATAAAAGATATTAAGGTGTTCCCTGGTTCCACTCCCACCTTCAAAGCTGTCTGCTCTGCAAAAGAAAATATGGAAGCAGGGCCAGGCCAGGTGGAACTAACCTATGGGAATGTGTCAAGAAAGTATAAGCTGTGGCACTAAACTAAAGTAAGAAAGTAGACTTCTGCCCTCTGCCTTTCTTATAATGCTGAGACGTATTTCTTTAGTAGAAGTGAAAACAAGTGGTAACAAAGTGGCCTGGGCCTGTGCTGGGCTGAAGAGGACACTTCCTGGCAGCCCCAGTCTGTGTGGTAGGTCAGGTCTCACATAGCCTTTGAAAGGGGTCACTGGCCAGTGACTTCTGTATTAGGGATGGGTCGGGTATAGGATCTGAAGGAGGTTATCAAAGTAAGAGCATGAAATGAGATGAGAAAGGGTTCCTGTGAGGCATCCGGTATCACAAAAAGCACAGACTGTGCCACATACTCTAGGAATACAGAGAACCCATGCAAGGGAAAGCTGCTCCTGCAAGGAGGCAACTGTAAGTGGAGCAGAAGTCTGGCACAATCCCATCTCTTGGAGAGCCAAGGTAGCAGTGGTAGAATCTCTACCCAACAAGGATCCTGAGAGTTGGCTCTTCATCCATTTTAAAGAAAAAGCTTCCTGTAATGGTTCTTACCATGCAGCTCCCCAAACTGGTCTTGGTGAGTCCTCACAGGCAGAGAAAACACATCTAGCTAGGAGGCTTCCATTAACTATATATATGTATAAATAAATATATATATATATATATATATTTTATATAATATATATTAAATATATCACACACACATATCTCTCTCTCACACATATATATATATGTGTGACACACACACATATACACATATATATATGTATGTGTGTGTGTGTGTGTGTGTGTGTGTATATATACATACACATATATGCTTTTGTCTTAAAATAAAACCTGCAATTCCGGATGAGTAATACGCCCACCTTAAAAGACCACCAGAGACGTGAGTCAAAGCCAAGTGGCAAGGGTCGTTTATTGCAGGTTCGAACCCGGACCTACGCTCACTCGTTACTGGTGACGCTTAGAGGTCCCGGGCTGGGTAGGTTCAGGGTTTTTATAGACAGGTACAAACAAGTTTTGGGTGGGGCTGAGCTGATTGGTTGACATTTTGAACATTTGAAAAAGACATATTTGGTGTTAGCTGATTGGTTTAGGGGGCCCGCACACGCATTAAGCAATCAAACAGAAGCAGAACTAACTGGTTAGCCCACGCGTGCAAAAAGTAAGCATTTGTACAGAAGCAAAACTAGCTGGTTAGCTTTCAGTTTCCTGATTCCCTAGATAGAATACTCTGGGGTTCTTTTGGTCTTTCAAATCCATGAACTCATAAAGCTCCCATCTGCAATCGAATGAAAAGCAGGGCATCCTACTCAAAGGCTTTGAAACACACATATCAGCCTCAAAGCAAATTAGCTTTCCAGTCTTAGGTAAGACTGGTCCAGTCCAGAAAGGCAAGAGAGATGCTTCTCTTAAATTCTGGAAGAAAGGAAGGGATCCCCCTTCAGATGGGCTTATACAGCAGAGTAGTGACATACTTCTTGTAGCAATGGGTTGCACTAAGGACCATCACACTATCCTGCAATAGAAAGAAACATGCAGCTGATTCGTTAGTTCAGAGGACAGGTGGCTCTTCCAGCCACCAGTCCTTCACAGTCACTCACTTGTAACAGAGAGAGTTGATATCATATAAATAGGCTGGTTCAGTTCAACTTAAATTCCAATCCTGACTCCAACTGTCACTCTATTTGTGGCCTTGCTTAATCTACTTGATGCTTCAAAGCCTTTATTCCTCATCAGGACAAAAGATAACACCCACCATGAAAGCGGTTATAGGAGACTATCTGGCACAGTACCTGACACATAACAGATGCTGAAGAAATATTACTTTCCTACCTTCTTACTCCCTTCCCTACCTCAAATGTGAATATTGGGCTTAAAACTAGCATGGAAAAAAAAAAAAGATATCCTGACATTTATTTTTAGAAGTCTAAAATGCAGTGAGAAGAAAGGGGAGCGATTTTTTTTCCATTTCCAAGTCCCAAAGAAGGTCTAATTTCCATTTCATGCAGGGAAGAACTTAAAAAGTTAATTCTAATCAAGAGGAGACCCAGGAATCCCCCTCTATCCTTGAACAAACTAGACCCCAAAAATCTTCCTTGAAAGACACTCAGTGCAATGGATCAACTCACACAGCCTAGACACTCTGACAGAACCTGGACTGGGTCAAGGGTAAGCTGTATCACAGTAATCAAGACCCTGATCTGGGTTAGAACCAATGTGCCAAGTAAGAGGTACTCTTTCCCTGGCTGTGTTACAGCTCAAGGGTATGCCATAGGAGGCAATGGTAGGGCCGGGAGCATCAGCTGATAGTCAAGGAGCAGTTACAGAAGGCAAAAGTCAGTCTGATCCAAAGAACCCAATAAATCCAACTGAGAAACCAATATGTCTTCCCAATTTCCCATACATTGAGTTATCTACAATGATTGCTTCTCAGATTAACATTCTGTGACCAGAGTATGTTGATCACTGCCTAAATATGACAGATGCTAGGATGGTAAAAAAAAAAAAAAAATAATGGCTCCAGTAATGGTCTGGTAGAAATGAGGAACAGATGAGAGAAAACCCTTGGAAAGACCTGGCACAGAAATCTCTAGTGATGAAGTTCTAGAATCAATGTTCTTTTGGCAAGCCATTCACATTTCTGCTATCAAGTGTCTTTGTTAGTGAGATTTGGGTTTAGAAGAAATTTAACTTTATTTAGGGCTTGAGGAACTGAGTTATTTGCCTCTGGAAAGTGTGCCATTGATAAGGTAACTTCTTTGTTTGTAGATCTCTAGGACATTTGTAAACCAAGGGAGACTCTGTCTTGCAGGATGTGATCTCTGCAAGTTAACTATTTGTTTCTCCTTTATGGCAGTCAGGGGTGCCTGAGGAATGTCACACACATTACCAAGGGGAACAGGTGGAGAGGGAGTGCAAGGTGCCAGCTTTTGCTTTGTTTTCAGCCAGCCTCCTGATCCCTCATTACTGGGGGGTCCATCCTAGATGCACTTGTTCAGAATCTCTGGGGCTGTAGGCTTTGGAACTGTATTTTTACAAATTTTCCCAGGTGACTCTGATGATGGTCTGCCTAGTCTGATAACTACAGAGCCATACGAAACTTCATTCCAATAGCCAAAACACAAAGACATGACAAGACTGAAAAGGTATTTTCAACCCATACTCTAATGCGGCGGAGAAGCTAAGGAGTCTAGAATTGGAGGGGACAGAGCAAATCTGGTCACATTCCTCCTTCACCTAGTGTAGTGGAGAGATGCAGCACTCAAGGACAGCTCACATCCACCTTTAAAAAACAAAAGCCTTAATCACATCCAAGCATTCTCTGTACTAGAAGATCAACTTGTTTTGCCTGCAAATGAAATCCTAGTGCTGTGAACTCCAATCTAATGAAGTAGGTGGTACAAAAGTTATAGCTGGCCAAAAAGAAACCAGGAACCAAACAAGTTCATTCAATCCCAGGAAATTCAGCTAGCCAGAACATAGGGATGGGGACTAAGATTAAAAACAAACAAACAAAAAACCCACCAACCAGTTAAAAAAAAAGAAAGTTCATCTCCAATAATTTGCCCTTACAGGCAGCTTTAGCTTCAGTGAGGTAGCAGAGGAAGTAAGCACTGGAGAACACGTGTTACCCCTGCCCTCCAATTTTGGGGAAGAGGCAGGCCCACCACTAACCTTAAGGGAAAATGCATAGAGATGGTTCAGCATAATATGATTGGGCTCAGGAAGCAAGGCTGGGTCACACTGAGAGAGAAATAAAAAATCACTAAATGGAGTTAAGTGCACAGTTTTGATGCAAACAGTTCAGGCTTCCTTAGAGCTCTTTGGAACTGTTGAGAAAAGCTAAACTAGAATGTGTATTTCTTTTAAATAATACACTCACCCTAGTATATATCAATTTTTATGTTCTCATTACAGAGAGTTTGGAAAATTTTGAGTCCAGGACAGGCACTCTAAGCCTTAGCATCTATTTATCTTCTTTAATAGAACTAAAACAAAAATCTTGCCCACAACACATATAGAAGATTTGTGTTAAGTGACAAAATAATCTTAGTGGGAATCAAGTGGATTGACTAAAGATGTAAATTATATGGAAAAAAGAACAAAAACATAAAAACCAAACCAAATTCCTTATACTCCCTTTGTATATACCCAAATGGTAACTATGTCTTATCCTCTGTTGGACTGGAAGTCCCAGAAATTGGCTCTAGCAATCCATGGTTCTGGGTCTAATTCATTAGGACCGGAAGATTACTATGAATTTTGATATTAGTACCTGGAAAAGTAAGAACTCGGCCCTGGAAAAAGGAACGTGAATGCTATTGATATGTATATGATTTATATTCTCAACATAGCTTTGTAATAACCCCGACCTCTAGGATTACTAACTTTGGCTCAAATGGTCCTAATAACCCCCAGATGCTGCAGCAATTCTCTCAGAGTACTCACAGAAATATTAGTGTCCTTGTTAAGAATAACTTGAAGAAGGTGGGGAGGTAGGATGAGTGGGGATTTTAATCTCTCCTCAGATCAAAACACATACATTTCTTGACCATAAGGCCCTGGGGGAGAGCTGGAAAGGTCTGGAAGAGATTTATCCAAATATAAGGGAAAGTTGTGGAGCTAGTAAAACTTCATGGAAAAAACATCAATACATGGCAGCTAATATTAAATACAATCATAGATCATAAACTTGTGACCTGCTGGTCTACAATTGTAATGCAAAGAAAAAGTCTGAGTCTTCTTGGACATGAACCCTGAAACTCCTCAACATGGCAACATGATGTAGACGACAGAGGAGGGGATGAGAAGTGAAAGGCATAAGGTTCAGAGAAGAGCTACTCTATTTATCAGTTGTATGGTTAGAACAAATCCTTCTACTATGGTCAGCTTCTCATTAATAAACTGAAAGATAATCTCTCCCCTATTTCACAATGTTTTTACAGGAATGAAAGGAGGTAACAGATGTGACAATGCCTTGTAAACTGCCAAACGATGTGAAAAAATTCGGCTTTTTCTTTTTTCCACAAAAGCAACAGGTAACAAGCTTATAAATACTAAGACTGCAGGTAATACAATGATTGCAACAATGAGGACAAGATTACTAACAATGTAGTAGTTTTTAGGGAAATGTAAATCAAATACCACTTCACACTCACTAAGATGGCTGTAATAAAAACACACACAATAATAATGGTTGGTGAGGATGTGAAAAAACTGGAACACTTGTGTGATCCCCATTGCTGCTGGGAATGTAAAATGGTGCAGGAACTTTGGAAAACAGTTGGGCAATTTCTCCAAAAGCTAAGCTTGAAGTTGGCATATGACCTGGCAATTATACCCTTTGGAAAAGAAAACAAGTCCACACAAAGACTTGAGCACAAATGTTGAGAACATCGTTTTTAGCATACAAAAAGTGGAAATGATCCAAATGTGCAACGGTTAATGAATCCCTACAATGGAACTTTATCCAGCCATAAAAAGGAGTGAAGTACTGAGACATATTACAACATGGATGAACCCTGAAAATGTGCTAAGTGAAAGAAGCCAAACACGAAAGACCACACGTTGCATAATCCCATTTATATGAAAAGGTCCCAAGTGGGCAAATCCATACAGACACAAAGTAGATCAGGAAATTGGGTGAAAGAGGGAAGAGAGAGATATCAAAAGTATGCATGTCTTCTTTCTACAGAATGATGATTTCCTATCTACTGCTCATCAGTTGCTTCTCTAGAATCATATAATCCAAAAATGTAGAGTTGCAAGTGGTCTCATCACTTAACTCAGTATAATTAAGCCCTTGTTAATCACTGCCCTACCAGTCAAAAAGAATGTTCAGCTTTACTTACTGGGCTTGTATAATGAAAACTATTTTTACGATTTTCATAAACAATTATTGTACCCTTGATTGGTCTTTTAGAAGCTGCATAAGCCACCTCTGTGCCCTGAGATTCCACTTTGGGTCGTGTCTCCACAGATGAGAATCAACTGAGATTCTAAGCCTCTGATTTTTGTGATATGGAACTGAGAACCAGAAAGGCTGAAGGACCTGTGCATGACTTCAAAGCTGGTGAGTAGCCTGGGCAGGTTTTGAACTCACAAGGGAACAGTATACCCACTGGGAACAGGGTGCATAATTCTTTAGAGAGTTACAGCCTTGAATATAATAACTAAAATGGTAACTGTGAGCGTGGATAGCAAATCAGTCTTCTGATGCTGTAGCAATGTGATGAAAGCCATGGGAAAAAGTAAGATTGGGAAAAACAAAAGGATACAGGTCTTTTCCTCTAACAGGAAATTTAATTTTTCATCAAAAACTTATAAAATTTCAGTTAACATACACAAAAAAGAGTTGTGGGGGATAGCTGGAGGGCCATATAAAACTGTGGAACACCCAGCCTAGCTATCAAACTGGCAGGATTAAGCTAATGCAGAGGCAACTAAACAAGGCAAACCAGACAGAACTAGTCTCAGCTGGTAAAACTGCCAAAAGGTCAATGAAAACTTGAAATATTGCTGGAAACAGCTTTTTAAACTATAGACTATAACCCATTAGTGGCTCATGAAAGAAAGGTTAAAATAGAAAATAGAGTGTATCGCATATAACAAAGACAGACATTCTGCTGAGAATTGTCTTACAGTGTGCATGTGAGTATTTGTATGTGTGAGAGACAGAAAGAGAGGGAGAGAGATGGAGACAGGAAGAGAGATGGGAAGAGAGAGACTGGGTTACAATGTGTAAAAAAATGTCTTGCTGTAGATCTTGGTTAAAAAGTTTAAAATCAAATACACTAGACTGAGTTTTTTTCCTCTCAGACAAGACCTAAATGTTCAGAGGACAAACATATATATAGATATATATATGAATATGTGTTACACACACACACACACACACACACACATTCATATATATATCTATATATATATGGCTCTAAAACACGTATGTGATTCAGAGGATTCCTGAGAAAATGAAAAACACAACCACTCTTGGGAAGAAACATGCATTATAGGAAAAACACACCAAGAAAGAGCAAATATGGGGCACCTAGGTGGCTCAGTGGGTTAAAGCCTCTGCCTTCGGCTCAGGTCATGATCCCAGGGTCCTGGGATCAAGCCCTGCATTGGGCTCTCTGCTCAGCAGGAAGCCTGCTTCCCTTCCTCTCTTTCTGCCTACTTTTTATCTCTGTCTGTCAAATAAATAAATAAAATCTAAAAAAAAAAGTTATAAAAAAATAAAAAAAAAAGAATGAGCAAATACTATAAAATTACCTTGACAAGATGTCTCCGAGCTTTCCATTGAATCTAGCTTTAAAGCATCAAACACCTCAAAGTGAGATTTCTTGACATGGATCAAATTGTAAATCATGGCAAGCTGACAGGTAACTATAGGTTGAAACAATGAAAGGAAAATATTCATATACCCTGTTTTAAATTCATCTCTTCCATCTAACTCTCCTGTTTTAAAAAATGATCATGTTGGGCACCTCCATCTTTAATCAAGAGAGAAACCCTCCAGTGTAGGAGCCCATCAATCCTGAGAACAATGACGTTTGACACCAAGAGGAATAATAGCCAAAAGGACAAAGTTCAGTTAATGGTTACCCTTGGAGATCAAGGCCTTACCTCTGATGGATCATGAACCCACTGTCCATCCACAAAGAACTTGTACTGGTGCTCTCCCTCAGGGAGGTCTAAGATGGCAACAAAGTCATTATGGCTACAGAAGAAAACAGAAGGTTAAACAAGCCAAGTTCCTATTAGAAGACAGAATGTCAAGGTAAAAACCATGAGACACTCACAACATCCAACAGTGATCTCCCACATTCCTAGGCGATTGTCCGCACTGGAATAAATAATGTATAGACCCATTCTCCTTTTCTGTATCACCTTGAGCACATATTTGCCAGCCCCTCCCAATAACGTTAGTTCTTAATATCTGGAAAAAAATAATAGTTGTTAATCCCCCAAAATGATTCACCTTAGCACAACTCATTTGCTTCAATAGGACCAGATCCTTCACAAGTATAAAGAAGATAGCAGGTAGCTTCAGAATACAGGAAGTGCCTCAAGGTATCATTTTCCATATTTTGGTGAGCACTGTCTGAAAAATAACCTACTGAAAAATGGCCATTCTGATTACCAAGTAGTTCATTATCGCTCTGCAAGCAATAGCTCACATTACTCCCTAGAACATCAATTGTGTTTTTAGTGCAGAAGTCAGAACAAGTGGACTCAGCCAGTTACAGATGACTTCCCAAAAGCATAGGCAGGACTTGTGTTAACACAGTCCTAAAGAATGTACCTACAAAGCTGTATGACAAGTTCCTCTGAGGCAATGACATTCTAACTGGTTAAACATTTCTGACTCACTATGAGATTTAAAAAAAAAATCCACAGATGTAGTCATTGGCCACAGAAAATGTCCTAGAGAGAGTCCCTAGAGGGTGGAGAGGAGCAGTCCAGCCAGGTCTCTCTCCTGAGTAGGAAAATCTCTACTCCTGGACCCTGTAGACTCATCCAAGACACTCGTCTTCACCTCTTAATCAGTAGAATCTTGGTGCTCCAATTGTTGAAGGACCCAGAGATGAAGACCTCCTTGCCCCCTTCAGACCAGCGGATAACAGTTGGCTGGGCCTGCTGTGTGGGCTTTACGGAGTCCTCCAAATCCTGCTGCCATGATACAAACTCTTTGTCCCCAGGGAGCTGTAAGAAGCATTAGGTCATCCCTAAATTGTGACCCAGGAACTCTTAAAAGGCCACTCTCCTCCCTCGGGCAGAGAGAGGTGATAGGTTTCTCAGAAGGATCAGTAAGCCTTGAAATTAGCAACTGAATCAAATTTTGAATATACTATAGAGAAATAACCCATCTAGGACCAAATGGTCAAATGGTTTAAGCTCAACGGTTGCCCAAAGCACAGCCTAACTTTAGAGTTTGCATAGATCACTCACCCTTTCAGAGCCTGAGGATCTCCCTTTCAAAACAGAGGTGGGAGAAGTTTACTGCTTTCTGTACCAGATTAACCCACAGGCAGGCAATTATGACATGCTTCTGAGTCTCTCTTAAGAGAAAAAAATATGAAAAAAAGTATGCTTCCATAAAAAACAATAAAGTTAGCCAGGTATTTTTCACATGTAAATATGAATAGCTCTGAATTATCCATTGTAATGCCAGTTAGAGACACTGAAATTCATAAGTAATTCATAAACTTCATTTTGGCTAATCAGTTACATAAAGGACATTACAAGTATAGAAAAATGATATCATTGGTTTCTTAATTTTTTAAAAAGATTTTATTTATTTATTTGAAAGAGATCACAAGTAGGCAGAGAGACAGGCAGAGAGGAGGAAGCAGGCTCCCCGCTGAGCAGAGAGCCTAATATGGGGCTCCATCCCAGGACCCCGGGTCATGACCTGAGCTGAAGGCAGGCTTTAACCCACTGAGCCACCCAGGTGCCCCAGTTTCCTAATTTAAAAAAATAAGATTTTATATATTTATTTGACAGAGAGAGATCACAAGTAGGGAGGGAGGCAGGCAGGGGTGTGGAGGGAAGGAAGCAGGCTCCCTGCTGAGCAGAGAGCCTGATGTGGGGCTCCATCCCATTACTCTGAGATCATGACCTGAGCCTAAGGCAGAGGCTTAACCCACTGAGTCACCCTGGTGCTCCTGGTGTCTTAATTTTTGAGAAGTGTTTATGAAATCTTACTTGCTCACTTCTGCCAGGCATATACTAATTTTTTCAGGAGTGGGGATGAAAATTCTGGAGGCTCAAGGAGCATCAGATCAAAAACAAAGCTTCCTTTTTAGAAAAGCGGTTCCAATATCAAATAAGGTCTGAGGATTAAAAAAAAAAAGGACTTCTTACTTAGTTTCTTTTCATTACCATCTTTTAGAACAAGAGTTGGCAGACTGTGGCCAGGAGACAGATGCTTTTATAAATAAACTTCTTTTGAAAATAGCCATGCTCTTTCATTTACATATTATGTATAGCTGCTTTCATGCTAAGCAAAACCAAATAGTTGTGACAGAGACTGTATGGTCCACAAGGTCTAAAGTATTCATTGTATGGTCTCTTACAGAAAAAGTTTGCTGATCCCCACTTCAGATTGGTTTAAATGACTTTGGCAAATAGGGCTGTACTGCATCAAGTAAAAACATCCCCAAATAAAATAATGTGGGTTAAAAAAAAAAAGATTAACTTATTCATTTGGGATTTACTTTGAAAATGGCTAGGGTAGTCTGCCTTTCATACGGTCTCTCAATAGTCCTCGAAACTGTACCGTGAGACACCAGGAGCAGCATAAACTCAAGTAAACAGAGAAACAATTGAAGGGACTTTCACATTACAGAAGGAAGAGTCATAAGTGAAAACCTTTATCTCCATATTCTTAAGGCAATGCTCTGTGCCTGACTGGATGCATTAGAATTACAGAAATTTTTACATATGCCTAAGAAAAACTCTCAGATTCTGATTTAGATATAGGGCCCAGGGATCTCTTTTTAAAGAGATTCACTGAGAATAATAATACTGATTGTTAAAATAAAGAAAAAACTCTATGGATGCATCCTACAATATTTACAGATAAAATAATATTTGATAAGATGTCTGGAATTTATTTCAAAATAATTGGGGGGGAGAGTAGCTTGGGGTATAGAGGATATAAATTTGTTCCCAATTTGATCATTGTTTAAACTGGGTGATGGGTATATAGGAGTTTATTACACATTCTATTCTGAAATACGAAAAATGTTTCCAAATTTCCATGCAGTGTTTAAACAAATCTCAAGTGATTCTATTGTGTGAAACAATGCCAATCTGTTTTGATTATGATAACTTCAAAATAGTTCTTCATATCAGGTGCAGCTAACCCTCAAACTTGGTTCGTTGTTTCCCAAGTGTTTGGCCATATGAGGTCATTTATACTTTTATATGAATTTTAAAATCAACTGGTTACTTTTGACCAAAGATACAGGCTGAGATCCAATGGGGGACAGTTGATGTTTGAACAGTATTGAATCTTGTCACCCCCAAATATAGAAGTTCTCTTCATTTTCTAAGGCTTCATTTATTTATCTGTGAAATAGTTTGTGATTTTCAGTCAAATCTGTCCCTCAGTATTTCAAGCTTCATGCTATTACAAATGAGACCGCATTTCACATTTCAGTTAGGCATTGTGATCAAACAAATCACACCTGAGTTTTATGTATGGATGCTGGATCTTGATGCAAGCAACTGAGTTTCAGATTCAAGCTTGATCTGGCAGTGACTGTATCTTTGGAGATTTAGGTATTTGTCAGGCGAGAAGGATCTGATTCCATTCCCTTGCACTTTTCTCAGCAGCCCAAGGAAAAGGAGTAATCCAACCCACATGCAGTCTTGTGGCTGGGCAGATTGTACAGAGTCTTTTGGACCAATGCATGCGAAATGTTTTGTATGCCCATTAATACACTTCCCTTGAGAATAACCATGCAATTGGCAAGGCTGCCAGTTTATCTTGTGTGTAGCTATAACACCACAGTTGTAAAATTTAGAGGCCAATGTTCTCTCTTATAATTTAATTGAGTCCTCAATAATGTATTGCCATTATAATGTACTGACAGAAACTTTGGAACAGTATGCAATGATATATCCATCAAATGCCACGAGTGCTCAAATCTGATTTCTCTCATTTCTGATGTGGTCTCTTATAAAATGACAGCAGCAGCAGGTAAACAAATAATAGTGGCAGGCTGAGGGCTGTGTGTTACTGAGTTGTGTGACTCAGCTGCCTTAGGAGACAATAGCTCATACTCCAAATCTGACTTAGGTGTCCACTCCCATAAATCCATAAGCATTGAGTCCTGATTCTGCAACAGAATCTAGTCCTTTTTGTCAACTTCATTCCCACAAGGAATAGTGAAGATCTCTGACTTAAGTAATGATTGGTGTGTGTAGCAAATTTAAGTTACCTCTTTGGTCACTGAACTTAATATCCTATCAGGTAAAGTTCACCAGTGTAACTCACAATGTCACATTCTCTGTGGCTCAGGTAATTGGTCTCAAAGAAATCAAAGCATCAATTCAGTGTTAGGTGTCTCACCTAAAGTTTACCCTTGATGGGCTAACACATGGCTCATAAACAGATTTAAATGTGTTTGATTTAGTTTTATCTAATGGTTAGATAGAGAATGACTATCAGGCCAGTTTTTGTTTAAGGCCTTTTTTTTTTTTAAGATTATTTATTTATTTATTTGACAGAGATCACAAGTAGGCAGACAGGCAGGCAGAGAGAGAGAGAGGAGGAGGAGGAAGCAGGCTCCCTACTGAGCAGGGAGCCCGATGCGGGGCTTGATCCCAGGACCCTGGGATCATGACCTGAGCCAAAGGCAGAGGCTTTAACCCACTGAGCAACCCAGGTGCTCCAGTGCTCTGCCTTTTTGACAGAATCCTCAGGTCAACATAAACATGGATTTATACCAAGTTGTTTATAACCAACCAATCATTGTGTACATGACACATATTGAATACATTCCTTCTTTTACCTGTTTACATTTGGTTGTTGAGATGATATGATCTTACTCATCTCTTCCACTGACATCTTGAATTACAATTCTGCTCTCTGTTGTGAAAAAACAAAGGTGCTCTACCTTGTTATTCATCAAAGTCATCAGAGGATGTGTTTAAATCTGTATATTTGTGATCATCAGAATTTTTTTTAAAGATTTTAATTATTTGAGGGAGAAAGAGTAGTGTGAGCTGGGAGAACAGAGTGGGACGGAGAGGGAGACTGAAGCTAAAGCAGACTCTTTGCTGAGTGTGGAGCCCAACTCAGGTCTTGATCCCACTACCACCAGATCCTGAATAATCTGGAACCAAGTGTCAGATGTTTCACTGACTGAGGCACTGAGGTATTTCTAAGACTATAAAAGTCATTTTTGGTTGAAGCCAATACTGGATAATCTGTGAAAGAATGACTACAGATCATGGACTAAATACTTAGTGTCCATTGAACCCAAAATTGTGCTAGACATGTTTTCCCAAGATTGTGTAATGCGCCCACCTGCAACTTCAAGACCCCAAACTTCTTCCCCAAGACCTAGGGGACACTGTCACAAACTCAATCAGACCCTTCTTGGGCCACTGGCCAAGTGAGGTTTTTATTGCTTGATGCTATGGGCAGAGCCACTTTACAGTTTTTATGTGTATTAAGAGGCTCCTGTTTCTCTCCAGCCAATGGAAGTAAGTAGCTTGCTTTGTTATTTGGCATCTAGAGCCATGATTAGGGTCAGGTTTGATTCCCCAGAACTCATTAGGTGCTGTTAAATGCAGGAACTTTTCTCCTATTATGTGACACTTGTCCCCACACATGTACTCTATTCCCTAAAATTTTACTTTCTGAGTAGATCCTTGACGCTTTTTATTCATGGCCCACCCAGGCAGCATTCTTAAGAATATTATTGATATGAATGAAAGGGGAAAGATCACGACTCACACCAAGGAAATGGAAACAATCATCAGAAATTATGATCAGCAACTATATGCCAATAAGTTAAGCAACCTAGAAGAAATGGAAAATTACTCAGCCTTTGAAAAGGATGGGATTTTTGTCCTTTGGAGCATGGAAGGACCCAGACAGCATACACTAAAGTGAAATAGGTAAGACATGAAGGCACAAACACTAGAGGATTTCACTTCTGCCTGGATTCTGAAAAGCAATACAAATGAATAAGCAAACAAAAAGCAGAATCAGAATGTCAATATAAATAACAAAGAGATGGTTCTCAGAAGGAAGGTGAGGGGGCATGGAAGAAATAGGTGAAGGGGTACAGGAGATACAGTCTTCCCATTGTGGGTTGAATAAGTCACAGGGATGAAAGGCACAGCATAGCGAATATGATCAATTGTATTGGAATAGTGTCTCTGGTGACGGATAGTAGCTACACTTGTGCTCATTATAAGGTAAAAACTTGTCCAAGCATTATAATTTTCTCCTATGTTAACAAAATATTGTGTGTCAACTATGCTTCAAACAAAATTAATGAGTCAGAAAGTATACATAGATAACAGGAATGGGTTTGTCTGAGAGGGACAGAAACCCAAAGGCAATCCAACTGGAATTATCCTCACTCCACCAGTCTAGGGACAAAAGGTAACTGGTCTCTTGGGGAGGCCCCACCCTTAACTTCTGTGGTAATTTACTTCTAGTTCATTTCTTTGCAGATTTCTGTTTCAGCATCTGTTGCCACCTTTTTCCTGTGTTCCCTTTTGGTTGGTGTTCAGTCCCAGGCCTCATGCTCTTCTTCCCTTCATGGTCCACACCAGGTAGACCATCTGCTCCCATTTGTACCTCTCTGTTCATATTCTCTCTCCTCTGAGCTCTAGAGCCTGTGTATCTGCACAGGGATGAGATGGCACCCTCTGACAGTTCACTCTTTAACAAGTAATTTGTGGGAACTTCCTATGAGCTGGTGGGGAAGAATTATGGAATGCCCCTGAAAACATTTTTTTTTAAGTTTCAGGGGTACAATTTAGTGATACATCAGTTACGTATAATATCTAGTGCTCATTTCATCAAATGCTGTCCATAATGCCCACCACCCAGTTACACCATGTCCCACCTACCTCCACTCCAGCAGCCTTCAGTTTGTTCCCTAGTGTTGAGTCTCTTACGGTTTGCCTCCCTCTCTATATGCATCTTGTTTTATTTTTTCTCCCCTTCTCCTATGTTCATTGGTTTTGTTTCTTATATTATGCTAATGATAGAAATCATTTGGCTTTTGGCTTTCTGTGACTGACTTCTTTTCCTTAGCATTATACCCTCTAGTTCCATCCTCATCCTTACAAATGACAAGATTTCAGTTTTTTTGGTCACTGAGTAATATTCCATTGTATTATGTACCACATATTCTTTATCCAGACTTTAAAAAGTTCTGCTTTTGCACCCAGCTGTTTATAATACTTTATAGTATCTTCCTGAAACAGACTCCCTCCCCTCCACGGTATCATCAGCTATACCACACCAGATTCAAGTCTCCATCCTCCTGCCTTCCAAATGGTGGTCATTTTCTACTGGTAGCCTTGCAGCATTTATATGATCACAACTTTGATTAATTTCTTGAGTGTTCAGATTGAATTGATAAGTATGTAGTTGTATTTGAGGGAGAAGAACAATTTAATTCTTCCCCCCAGATTTTTCTGATTGGATTCTGGACATGAAATCTATGAACCTGGTGACAGGATGGATTTTGTCATCCCCCTTCTATGAGAGCTGAATGCCACTATGCTATTGGCAAGCAGATACTTACTAGTGACAAAGCTTCATCCCTTCCAGGTTGACGTTTATGATGGGAAGATGTACTAAACAGAATATCTACTTTTTTCTCTACTCACTATTTAAGATTTGATGGAGGAGATTGTTAGGATCCGTAATCAAAGGAGCGAGACTGATACAAAGCGAAGGCCAAGCAAAGCTTTATTTCATGCCAAGCATCGAGAATCAAACTGACTGGTCAGGGCCGTCTCTTGCAAAGAGGCGACCCCTCCCAGCTTCACAGACTAACTTTTATAGAGGTAGTTTAGCCGGGCTATACACAGGTGGCCAATGAGATTGCAATACACAGAGAAAACTGCACAGTCATGCTAAGTCTGCCACACAAAGAAAAAAAACAACTGCTAGGTAACACACGGGTGGCCAATTGAATTTCAATTTACCCTAGTAGATATATCCGTGCCCAACTGATTAGATGTCTTTGCCTGGCCTGACCCGCCCTTGTATCTAGGTTTTGCAAGTAAGTTCCCCTGGGAGGGGCAGGGTCAATCTAAGTTTACTGCATAGGGTCAATCTAAGTTCACTACATAAACACAAAATGACTCCCTCTGGCCAACCAGGCTCTTACATTCCCCCCTTTTCTTTGGAGATTAGTCAAATCCTTGACTTTTCAGCCAGTTCTATGTTCTCAGGTTGTAAGGGGTTATATTGAGCATGTAACTCTAACATTTTTATCGCTCTAGTTTTCTTTTGTACAAATGACACTAGTGCACAGTTGGCTGATGAGTTAGCAATTTACTGCTTCATAGAAGCTTTTCCATTTTTCCTAATTTCCTACCTATACTTTACATAAACAGGTAACAATAAGAGCAACATTAAACTCATAGTCTTTTGAGTCTTAGCTTTCGCCCATGGTTAGCGGGGTCCATTGGCTGTGACTTCCACCTCTGGGGGGGCGTCTTCGTCCTTGGCTCATTTGACGTGACCCACGTGAATCCAGGCCGACACCCTCTACTTTTACTGCTGTGGGGGTGGTCAGGATAACAGTAAATGGTCCCTTCCAGCGAGGCTCCAAGTTCCCCACTTGATAGCAACGTATCCAAACCAAGTCCCCAGGTTGGTTAGAATGTGGTTCCACCTCCATCTCCGTCCCAGTGTGGGCAGTCTGGATCGCTGCATGGGCTTTTTTTAAGATAGACTGTAAAGCCTGCAGTGACTGGAGTACAGACTGATCAGTCATTTCTGCTAGGGCAACCTCTTGTAGCCGAGGACGGTTGGGGGGGGTCTCCCAAACATTATTTCAAATGGGGTCACCTTGTTTAAATAGGGTGTACATCGTGCCCTGAGGAGGGCGAAAGGAAGGAGATCCACCCATCCACCGCCAGTCTCCAGAATTAGTTTTGTCAAGGTCTCTTTAAGAGCCCAGTTCATTCTCTCTATCTGTCCAGAACTCTGGGGCCGATAGGCACAATGTAGTTTCCAATTAGTGCCTGTAGTTTCCAATGCCTGTGAGACTGAATTCACAAATGCAGGGCCATTGTCTGACCCAATCGTGAGAGGCAGCCCAAACCTAGGAATTATTTCTTCTAGTAGCTTTTTTGCCTACCACTTTTGCCGTCTCATGTTTGGTGGAAAAAGCCTCTACCCAGCCTGAAAAGGTATCTACAAAAACTAACACATACTTGTGCCCATATTTTCCGGGTTTCATTTCTGTAAAATCTATTTCCCAATAAATTCCTGGTTGCTTACCTCTTTCTATTTTCCCTCTTCCCATTCTAGTTCCTCCCACATTAACTGCCTGGCATTGAGCATATCTATCAACTATATCCTGAACCATACACCCTAATTTAGAAACCTGGGACTGCTTGCCTTTAAGTTCCTTGAGTTTGTGTGACCCCAAATGAGTACCCTGATGTATCTGGTCTACTAACTTCTTACCTAGTCTTCGAGGAAGAATTAACTTTCCTCTTTTAGTCTTAGCCCAGTCCCCTTCATAGTCTAATTTAGCTCATTTTTGTAAGTACTTTAAATCTTCCTCTGAATAGTCCGTTTTTTTCTGGTAGGGCTAGAACAAGGAGTGTAACCAGCTCTGCACTGTTTCTCGGGCTGCTTGCTTTGCAGCTCGATCTGCTAATTGGTTTCCTTTTGAAATCAAATCAGTCCCCTTTTGGTGTCCTGAGCAATGCATAACAGCCACCTCTTTTGGGTCCCAAATAGCCTGGAGGAGAGCCAGTATTTCTCCTCTGTTTTAATTCCTTTTCCTTTTGGTGTTAATGGGCCCCTTTCTTTATAAATAGCCCCATGTATATGGAGAATAGCAAAGGCATACCTGCTGTCCGTATAGATGTTGGTGGTTTTACCTTTGGCCATCTGCAGTGCCTTAGTAAGTGCAATCAGTTCCGCTTTTTGTGCCAAAGTTCCATGTGGCAGGGCTGCTGTCCAGAGTTCCTGCTCAGGAGAAACCACCACAGCCCCCGCATACCTCTTTCCATTGACCATGTAGCTACTCCCATCTGTGAACAGAGTCATCTCGGCATCCAGGAGGGGAATGTCTCTGAGATCCGGCCTTCCTCCTGTGACTTGGGTTAGGACCTCCCCACAGTCATGTGGATGGTTAGCTAGCTCCTCTGGCAGCAGTGTGGCTGGATTTAGCACCACCGGGGGCTGGAAGGTCCCTCTTGATTCGTTGAGGAGGAGGGAGTGATACCCTGTCACTTGGGTGTTCATCATCCATCAGTTGGGTGGAGTCTGGAGAAGGCCCTCGGTAGCATGGGTGGTGGGCAAGATAAGATTTTGACCCAAATTCAATTTACTTGCATCCTTGACCAGGAGGGCCATGGCAGCAATTATGCAGAGGCACGGGGGGAACCCAGCTGCTACTAGATCTAGTTTCTTGCTAAGATAGGCTACTGGCCTTTGCCAAGGCCCCAGAGTCTGAGTCAGAACTCCTTTGGCCACCCCTGCTTTTCATCCACATACAAGTGGAAGGGCTTGGTAACATCTGGGATGGCCAATGCTGGGGCTGTTTTTAACTCCCAAAATGCTCCTTCTGCCTCAGCTGTCCACTCTATCATAGTGAGCCCTCCTTTTGCCAGTTCGTAGAGAGGTCGGCAATCTCCACAAACCGCAGTATCCACAGCCTACAGTAGCCCACTGTCCCAAGAAACTCCCTCACTTGTCGGGACGTGGTAGAGCGGGGGTATTGGGTGATCACCTGTTTCCTGGACTCAGACAGTGAACGCACTCCTTCGTGGAGATCAAAGCCCAGATAAGTGGCATGGCTCTGACAGAGCTGTGCTTTCTTCGCTGACATCTGATACCCTTTTTCCTGCAGAGTCTGTAAAAGAGCTCTTGTCCCCCGCAAACATGAATCATAGTCCTCAGCGGCTACTAGCAAGTCATCAACGTATTGTAACAGAGTGACTCCTGGGTTGGAGGTTCTGTACTCATGCAAATCCTCACGTAGGGCCTCGTCGAAGATAGTGGGCGAATTCTTGAACCCTTGGGGAAGTCTTGTCCAGGTGAGCTGGCCTTGGAATCCTTCCTGTGGGTGGGACCACTCAAAAGCAAAAAGGTGCTGAGAATTCCTTTGTTAAAGACATGCAGAAAAAAATGCATCCTTGAGATCTAAGATGGTATACACAGTTCTTTTGGTGCCCAGGAGGGATAGTAGGGTATAGGGGTTAGGCACCGTCGGGTGGATATTTTCAACCCGTTTATTAACTTCCCGCAAGTCCTGGACATGTTGGTACTCCCCAATCTCGGCCTTTTTGACGGGCAGCAAAGGTGTGTTCCATGGAGATTTGTAAGGAACTAGGATCCCGTCTCCTTGGAGGCGGTTAATGTGTTTTCTGATCCCTTCCTTTGCTTCCCGGGGAAGTGGGTACTGCCAAACATGAACAGCTGTAGCTGTCACCTTTAATTGTACCACCACTGGATGTTGTTCCTTGACCAAGCCAGGGGGCTTCCCTTCTGCCCAGACCTCAGGAAACTTGTCCTGTAGGATTTGGAGAAGGCTCCCCCCCTTGTCTCCTCTGGTTTTGAGACTGGCTCATAAAGGAGGTATTCATCTACTGCTGCCATAAGCACTTGTACAGTGGGTTGTCTCAAGGTTACAGTCATGCCTCCTTCGGAGAACTGAATGCCAGCTCTTAACTTGTGGAGGAGATCTCTTCCCATCAAGTTATATGGGGCATTAGGGAGGACCAAAAATTGATGTCTAACTGTTCCCGAGGCCAAATTTAAATTCCTTTCTGTTGCTCATTTATGTCTCTCTGTGCCATTTGCTCCTTGTACCCAGACTTCCTCTCCAGATAGTTTTACCATAGGTTTAAGTAATGATGAAAATTTGGCTCCTGTGTCCACCAAAAAATCAACTGATTTCCCCTCCACTTCAATTTTTACCCGAGGTCCGGGGAGGGGCTCCGAACCATGGCCCCTTCAGTCTCTGGTGGCAAGCATTGCTGTCTTCCTTTTGGGGCACTCCCTGGCCCAATGTCCTTTTTCCTTACAGTAAGCACACTGATCTGAATCTAAGTCCTCCCGCCTGCCTTCTCTGTGCTTAGGCTTTTCCTTCCATTTACTATCCCCTACCTGTCTCCTCCACGCCTCATGTAATGCCAAAACCTTAACCAGTTTTTTTTGTCTGTTTTTCATCCTCTTGAGCACCCCTGTTGTTAAACACCTTTTCTGTTATTCCCACTAACTCAGTCAGATTCTTCCCTTCAAATCCTTCAATTTTCTGAAGTTTCCTCCTTATATCTGGAGCTGACTGATTGGCAAAGCAAGAATGTCTAAATGAGCTATCGTGCAACTTCCCTGAAGTTTACCTCAAGTTGTCTAGCTTAAGTAAACAAACATTTAAAGACTCAAATCTAGAATTTAACATCCATAAAGGTGTGTTATTAAAACATAATTTTTCTCTCTAAAATAACCCTCGTTTTCAGAGAAGGCAAATCAGGACTAATTTATTTGAAAAAACAAGTCCAGTTTTAACAAGCTTGGCCTAATTATTTACATAAGCTCAGCAAGAACAGTGAGGGATCATATAAATCTTTTAGAATCTGCTTTGCTGGAACTTCTCGTAAGGAATCTCTAGGTTGAGCCTATAATAGCCAGAAGCCAAGCTACATACTTGCCATCAGACATGTCTGCAGTACCTGTTGATTTGGGCAGATTCCTCTTCCTGAGGCCCCCAAAGAATCCTGAGGTTCCTGCACCTGCCAGGAAGTAACATCCTTTACTCACCTGGTGAGGCTGTTGGGAACTCTGTAAGCAAGATATCAGGCCAACAGTTCCAAAGGGCTTTACGGTTCCAGGTTTTATAAAGTCAACCTTAGTTCCTTTAAGCTGTCTAGTCATATCTGAGTCTTTTCAAATATGACATTCCAGTCAAAGCCATGGTAAAATAACCAGTGTTTCCAATGGTGTCCTGTTACAAGGAGAACAAATTCTTATTGAACTTATGCAAATGACTGATTGCCATTGAAGAAAGAACACTTGCTGAGACCTTTTGCTTTCAGAGGGTTCAGATAGAGAGAAAGAGTTGAATACTTGATTTGTTTACAAATGACTACATTTTTATCTCTGTAAGTTACAGATAACTTAAGAAAAAGTTTCCCTAGTCTGGAAGAGCAAACATTAAAGAACCATTAATGTTTAAAATAAGACAAAACATCAAGAGATACAACATTACAATCTTTCAGTTCACCTAGGCCCATGTTAATAATTCTGGTTTAGTCTGAATGAAGCTTCTACTTCTGTAAATTCTTACCCATTTCAGTTCCAGGATTTTAACATATCAAAGACCTGTATTTGTCCTGAAAGTCTCCCATATGAATTTTCTTTGAGACAGAAGTTATCTTACAAGAAATTTAAAACAATTACAAATGACAAAAACTCAGAATAGATATGGTAAAGAGCTGGTGAGATGAGAATTTACAATGTAACTGGCAAGAAAATCAGGTTACTTCTGTGACACATAACATTTCCATAATCACAATATCAAGTGATGATCTATCAACATATTAAAACTTTAGGAAATGCATAGCATTTTCCCAAATGTTATCCAAGGTTTATCATTGGTTTAAATCTTGTCAACAATTGCTAAAACCTTAGAAAGTTTTAAAACACATGCCTAAATATAATTAGGGATGTTAAACACCTGATAAAACAAAACATAGAAACTGAATTTTCTGGGCAGGCAAAGAGAAAACCATAACAGATCAATTAACTTAAAAAAAACTTTGTCTTTTGTCCATGAGAGACTATGGACTCTGAAAAACAATCTGAGGGGTTTAAAGCGGCGGGGGGTGGGAGGTTGGGGGAACCAGGTGGTGGGTATTAGAGAGGGCACAGATTGCATGGAGCACTGGGTGTGGTGCAAAAACAAGGAATACTGTTATGCTGAAAAAAAAAAAAACTTTGTCTTTTTAAACAGAGAGAAAACCAGCTTTTCTATACCAGTGTCTTTTTTTTTTTTTTTTAAGTATGCAGATAATGAGTTCACTATGTTTCCCTCCCATCGTGAATGATGTCGCAGACAAAGGGAGGTGGATCTTTTAGATGCTGTCCTGCTCGCATCCCTCATGGGAACTTAGGAGCGTCTTAGCTAAGTTCTGTCCGTTTAAACCCCGGACCAGGCTACTCCATGGAGTAGATGACCGTTGTGCCATATGACACCCTGCGAGACTCAGGGTGCAGCCCACTCAGACTCCGTAGAGGAAGCGGTGGAGCCATACAGACATTCACACAGTCAGGCACTCTTCAGATTTAAACAGGTTGGACATCCTCCCCTTTGGTTATTCCTGGCTAATGGGAGGTGATCAGTCTCCCCTTCCATCATTTTATGAATGGATTTAGCTTCAACAGAGACCTCGGGGCTGTTTTTCTGTCTTTTTACATATCTCCTACTTTTTACATACAGAGTTGCTTTTGTCATTTCCATCAGTCTTAATTACACTTAACAGAATTTTGTACTCTTAGAAATACCTTAACCTCTACTGAAGACTAAATATAAACCAATTGTGAGTTGTTACAACAGAATTCTTTAGATGGCAAATTTATCAATCAGTTAAGCACAAAACGTGTTCACCAGCAGATTTCAAAAGCACAAACCCAGTTCCAGCAGCCAATGCTCTAGCATTTTATCCCATTTGGTTAAGACCTACATGTCCAACAAATTTAATTCCATTTGTCATTCAAGCAACCCTTCACAGTTTCAGGTTACCAAAGACTTCGGAAGCCACTTTAACAAATACCCATTAAAACCTTGAGACAGACAAATAACCATCTCCACTTCAGATGCCATGCTCTCCCGCCAGCAAGGGGGAGGGGCTAGGCAGTCCACGTCGGGCCAGAGAAGGCAAGGAATTCCCCAAAAGAAAGAGAGTTTTGGCAGCTGCTTGGGAATATTCCTTAAAGTCTCTGTCTCAAGGTCGGTTCATCCCGCAGTGCCAGTTCTTCTTACCAAAAGCGGACCACTAGGCACTCATATTCCACACCCAGCTCCAATGAGCATCAGCATTGGGCACCTTAACCCGGCATTAGACTAACCCCAGTTGGCTCCAGTCATAGCCCTTAACACACGAAATAATTGACCGAGAAGCCTCACATCTATTATGAAGAACAGAGAGATCAAAGTTAGAGTCCCCTTACTCTCTGCTTGCCCCATTCCTTCAATCATAACAAACAACACAACAGACAACAAAAGGACCAGGCAAAGACAACCACAGGCCCAATGATTCTTACCCAGAACCTGCTACTGGTGGGGCTTTCTTTATTCCCCGACCGCCTAAGTGGACTCGAACCCCCCAACAGCCTAGGGGGACTCGAAACCCCCGACCATCCAGGGGGACTCGTAACCCCTGTCGATCTACCAGCAGAGGGATGGGGTCTCCCTGCATCCACTCCAGCCCTGGGGATTATGGCTGCATCCAGCTTCTCCCCGGTGGGCCATGCCCTGGAGCTCCAACCAGACAGACAGATAGGATCCCGTGATCTTACCTCCAGAGGCTTTTCCCAAAAATTCTGATGCTGGCTCAGTTCTCATCGTTTGAATCCGGGTGCTCCCTCCAATTTTAGGGTCCGTAATCAAAGGAGCGAGACTGATACAAAGCGAAGGTCAAGCAAAGCTTTATTTCGCACGAAGCATCGAGAATCAAACTGACTGGTCAGGGCCATCTCTTGCAAAGAGGCGACCCCTCCCAGCTTCACAGACTAACTTTTATAGAGGTAGTTTAGTCGGGCTATACACAGGTGACCAATGAGATTGCAATACACAGAGAAAACTGCACAGTCATGCTAAGTCTGCCACACACAGAAAAAAAAAAAAAAAAAAAACAACTGCTAGGTAACACACGGGTGGCCAATTGAATTTCAATTTATCCTAGTAGATATATGCGCGCCCAACTGATTGGATGTCTTCGCCTGGCCTGACCCGCCCTTGTATCTAGGCTTTGCAAGTAAGTTCCTCTGGGAGGGGCAGGGTCAATCTAAGTTTACTGCATAGGGTCAATCTAAGTTCACTACATAAACACAAAATGACTCCCTCTGGCCAACCAGGCCCTTACAGAGATGACTGTAGCATTTTTTCTATGGCCAGGTTGTCTGACTTACATACAATTGTGACCTTTCATGGGGTCTAATGCTCTGTGTCTTCATTAATATCCATGTCAGTTTTCTAATTAATGGTGCCTCTGTGTGGCACATTTACCTTTGTAGTGGTTGAGTCTTTCAGCCTCACTATGACCATCAGTATAAATACAACCCAAATATTAATTTTTCTTCTTGAAGGGCTGTTTACCTCTTTTCCTTTAAAACATGGTTTCCAGGTGATAATATCAGTCAGGGGTGTCACTGAGAAAGCCATCAGTAGTTGGCCAGCTGACCTGCCTGGTGTTTGGTCATCAGAATGAGGCCAGTCTGAGAAATCCCTGGTGATTGGCCAGTGGATAGTGGTGACAACACATGGTAGTGACATCACATGAAGAAGGCATTGTGATGTCCTCAGGCAGTTATAAAAGCTTGGCAACAGCCCAGGCTGCAGTGAAGAGAGAGATGGTGGTTCACTCACAGTTCTTCCTGCTCTTCCTCGACTTCTCTGCCCTGTTTCCTGCCCAATACTCCTGGCAAGCCCCCTGCCCACTCCTCCTGCCCTGGGCCTCTCCCAAGATGCTACACACCACCTTCCTGTTGGCACCAATGCTTGTGCCCCTCTGTGGTCCGGAGAGTCCTCGAACCCATACATGGAGTCTCCTGGACCCATTTCGCACTAGGAGGCTGGCCCAGGTCCTGAGGGAGACATTGTCATTTGGCACATGGGAGTTGGACACTGGCTACCAGAGTTCCATGGATTCTCAGCCAGCTGGGCCCCTCACTGTTAGGGTCCGTGATCAAAGGAACGAGACTGATACAAAGCAAAGGTCAAGCAAAGCTTTATTTCGCACCTAGCATCAAGAATCAAACTGACTGGTCAGGGCTGTCTCTTACGAAAAGGTGACGACGATGACCCCAGCAAGGCCGCTTCCAACGTGGCCTCTCTGGATGAGGCTGCTCTCCAGACAGGGCCGTTCCCCAGACAGGGGTTGCTCTGGCGAGGCCACTCCCTGGACTGGGGTTGCTCCGGCTGGGCTGCTCCCTGAGGCCATGGCTCGGGGCGGTGGGGACACTGGCGGCGGGGACGCTGGTGGCAGGGACGCCGGCGGCAGGGCTGCTGGCGGCTCTCAGAGCTCTGATGGCTCTGACAGCTCTGATAAGAGCTCTGTCAGCTCTGACAGCTCTTACAAGAGCTCTGACAGCTCTTACAGTTCTTACGAGAGCTCTGACGGCTCTTAAGCTCTTACAAGAGCTCTGACAACTCTGACGGCTCTGACAGCTCTTACAAGAGCTCTGACAGCTCTCTCGGCTCTGATGACTCTTCTACTCCTCCAATGACTCTTCTACTCCTCTGACAACTCTTCTACTCCTCCCCAGCCTCAGCCTCACAGACTAACCTTTATAGGGGTGGTTGAGCCCCGCCCACACACAGGTGGCCAATGGGATCTCACCTCAGTAAATATATGCACGCCCCTCTGATTGGATGTCTTCACCTGGCCTGACTCGCCCTTGTATCTAGGCTTTGCAAGTTCCTCTGGGAGAGTCAGGGTCAATCTAAGTTCACTGCATAGCAATCTAAGTTCACTGCAACAAAATGGCTCCCTCTGGCCAACCAGGCCCTTACACTCACCTCTGGGATCACAGGTGTCTTCAGAACAGGAAAGCTGAGTCCATGTCCTGAGGGAACACTGGGCACACTACTACTCTGGAGCCTTCCAACCTCCCTCAGCACAGGGCACATGAGTGCTCTGAACATCCAGCTGACCCAGATGTGCACAATGTGTGGAATGTCTGGAGACACCAGGCAGAGAGGGAATTTTATGAAATAAGTAGGTACTGGGAAAAGGAATCACCACATCTCTGTATGTAGTGTTAGTCATTGGAACAATGGCCCTCAGTCCATGGACTGTCTGAAACAGCTCAGCAGCGGACAAAATAATTCCCCAGAAATCTGGCTAACCCTGAGCCCACAAACCATCAATCCTCAACCAAGGCCTAACAAAGAGAAATTCAGACCTCAGAACAGAGTACCTGCCAGGAACCCAAAGACTGGGAGGCTTCTGATCCCATTTCACACTGGGCAGATGAGTCACATAGACACTGGGTGGGTAAGGAGCCTCCATACCTCATATTGGCCATTCCAATGGAACACAAGGCAAGTAAGCTCAAGAGAACGGGATTGACATGTGTGAAGAAACCAGGAGTCATTCATCCCAGCTCTGTATTGGAAAAATGATTCAGCTCAACAAAAGCATTAAATGGGCCTTGGTACCCAGTGTACAAAACCTCCACACTCCACTAGTCCACCATGTGTCCTTGGATCAGGAGACCAAAAATTGAGAGGTCTGTGAGGCCTGGAGAGCCAGGGTCCCCATGTTCCCTTGGACATGGAGAATAACCAATCTGCTCTCTATTATACCAAACAGGCACCTGGACTGCAGGTCACCATGTACTCTTGGACCTGGACACCTACTGAGCTGTCTTATGGGCTAAGCAAGCAGGTTGACAGGGGACTAACCATGTGCTCTTGGACCTGGAGACCAAAAATGCAACTCTGTGATAAGCCAAGCAGGCGACTTCACAGCTGCCTCACCATGGGCCCATGGACCTGGAAACCACAAAATCAGGTCTCTACTAGGCCAAGCTGGCACCTGCACAGCTGGCTCACCATGTGCCCGTGGACCTAGAGACCAACCAAGGAGCTCTGAGCTAAGCCAAGCAGACACCTAGACATGTGGCTTACCATGTGCCCTAGGACCTTGAGACTAACAACTCAGCTCTTTGCCTGGCCAAGGGGCATCTTGACAAAAGGCTCACCAAGTACCCTTGGACCTGGAGACCAAAAACTGAGCTGTCTGGTGGCTTAAGGAGGTACCGTGATAATGGGCTAAACATATGCCCTTGGACCTTGAGCCCAAGAAATGAGATCTGGGCTAGGACAAGCAGACACATAGACAGGAGGCTCACCATGTGCCTCTGGACCCAGAGATCAGCAACTCAGCTCTCTACTTGGCAACATGGCCACCTTGGCAACAGACTTCCCATGTGTCCTTGGACATGGAGAACAACTATGTTTTCTAATGGGTTAAACAGCAAGGTTGACAGTCAGTATGCCGGGTGCCCTTGGACCTGGAGACCAACAATGCAGCTCTGCACTAGGCCAAGAAGGCCCCTGGATAGTGAGTTCAGCATGTTTCCTTGGGCACAGATCCTTCCTTCTCCCAAGAGTACAGGGCACTCAAACACAGGGCTTTCCAACTGGCGTCACATTACAAGACCTCCAAACCTGCTCAACATTGCACCAATTTGTCCAGTGAAGCCATGGAGACCTGGGGCTTCCAAACCATGAACCTTTCATCCCAGGAGAGCACGGGACAAAGAAGCCACTAGGACACAAACTTGACCCAAAAATCTATGACTGCATGCTTTTCACCTCTGCAGAGAATGAGCATTTGAGTCTCTTCTCACTTTCAATGTCCTTCAGCCTGAAGTCCTTGTGGCCTGCTCTCTCTGCATTATTCATTTTGTGGGGAGGTCTCCTCCTGAGGAAAAAAAAATACAGCATACCCTGGGAGATGAAACAGGCCAGGGGTTTGAACACTTTGTTTTTGAATTCATGGCAGGAAATGGGGAGGGGCAATGGGAGGAAGTTGTGCAGGAGAACCAGGCCTTGAGCTATGTGGAGTCCTTGGCAGAAATCCTCCAGGTGAAGGAGAAGTGTTATATCCTCAAGGGAGAGGTGGAGGCCTTAAAGCAAAGAGCCAAGCAATGCACTGAGAGGCAGGCTCAGCTCCATGAGATGGAGAGTTTCTTCCTTCAAATGAAGGTCTTTCTAGATGTTTCTGCCTTTCACGCAGTGCCCAAGGATTAATATCTGTGCACCTACGCTCTATGGCATTGAAGGGGAGTTGGGAAATAGGTGTTCATCTCCCCGATTGATGGTTAGTTTTGATTTTAAATGTTAGGCAAATAAACCATTTAAAAATAAAAAAAATAATAATTTATTAATATCATGTGGCTTCAGGTGAAAGGGCCTCTACCCTGACCCTTCCTGACCTTAGGTAGAACTCACTGCAGTAAGAATAGACATCTGCAACCCTTATCCAAGCATCCTTGATCCCCCTAAGCCCACACTTACTTTGAAAACAGCCACCATGTGGGCAGCTCCAAGCTTGAAGCTAGGGTTCTCTGGAAGAACCTCGTGGTCACCTCCTCCTCCTTTTGGGGCTGGTGCTTCCCAGCAGTACAATAAAATTCTTATCCATCGTATGGGGCTCCTTGGCAGTGCACATGTTCACTGTGGACTAAGTTACACCCTAGTCCTTAGTGGTCAGCTCAGGCTGGTCCTTGCAGAGATGGCTGCTGCTGTATGCATTCCTCAGTTTCCCCTGATTTTTCTGAACTCGACTTGTCCCTGTTCTTACCTTCATTGGCAACCACCTGCCCCACTGTTGCCTTATCCTTCTTTGGGTTATTCTCATCCCCCCAAGCCTTCTGATGTTCTGTCTTCCATCTGCTCCCTCCATACTCGGTTTTCAGTCTAGGTCTGGCTCAGGCTCCTGCAGGGGACACACAGAGAAGGGCCCAAGTCAGGTCTCAGCTGCAGTCCCCAGAGCTACTAAATGGGCACCTCAGATCCTCATGCACTCACAGAAACTGAGCAGGAAGGGAATTGGGAGAATGTGAATACCAATCTTAGCTTACACATGAGGAAACTGAGGCCCAGAGAACTTAGGAGCCAGGGCAGGAAGTAGAATGTGGCCTCAGTGGAAGCTCTGGCTTCTCTGGACTGAGTTCAAGTAACAGAATAGCTGTGACTCTTCCCAGACTATTTAGCTTCTCCGCTCTCATTCGGTCTGCAGTCTCCATTCATTGAGGAGCCACTTTGGTGTTATAGCAGTGGCAATTTATGAGGACCTTGATCCTATACAGAAACTCTTCATGGACAATATTAGGGGATACCGAATGAAGTCATCTAAAGGCAGGCATCTAAAAGACCCGCCAATACTGGCCCAAAGCCCCAGTAAGACTTAGAGAGGGAGCTTATTTTTTTTTAATATTTTATTTATTTGTGATAGAGAGAGAGTGAGCAAGAGAGGGAACACAAGCACAGGAGAGCTGGAGAGGGAGATGCAGGCTCCCTGATGAGTAGGGATACTGATATGGGGCACCAACTGAGGAGTTGGGGTCATGACCTGAGCCGAAGGCAGACACTTAATGGCTGAGCCCCCCAGGTACCCCCGAGCAAGCATTTTTAAAAATTTTTATTAATTTTTTTGAATTTCTTTTCAGTGTTCCAGAATCCCTTGCTTATGCACCACACCCGGTGCTCCATGTAATGCGTGCCCTCCATAAAACCCACCACTAGGCTCACCCAACCTCCCACTCCCTGCCCCTCGATAACCCTCAGATTGTTTTTCTGAGTCCACAGTCTCTCATGGTTCATCTACCCCTCCAATTTCCCCCAACTCCCTTCTCATCTCCATCTCCCCATGTCCTCCGTGTTATTTCTTATGAGAGAGAGAGCTTTTTAAGCTTAAGCATATGTATGGTCAAGTAGACATGATTACGTTCCAGACTTCACGCATGAAGATTCAAAATTTGAAGTCATTGAAAAGCTCCAGTCCTGAAAAAGTAAGGTGAAATTACTTTGGTAATTGACTAGATTAG